GGGACTGGCTGCAGAGGTTTGAGAGGTTTGGGGACTTGCTTGCTTTGTCCTCTCACCTGTGGAAGCAGAGGGAGGTGAGCTCGTCCATGTAGCAGCTGTTGATCTGGGTCAGGGGGTCGGTCCTCAGGGAGCAGCTCTCTACCAGCTCCTCGTCCCAGCAGGAGGAGCTCCAGGGCTCCAGCTGCTCCTCGATACTCCGCAGGATCTCCTTGTCATGGGGTGAGGAGATCTGAGCGCCGTTACACCAGTACACCTGCAGAGGGCGATACAGATACAGACCCTTCAGAGGCCTTCAGGAGGATTTCTGAGGACCACATTGGCCAAAATGGAACCAAACTGCTGCTAAAATCTGATTATCAAGCTGCTAGACAGACACACTGCCAATAGCCTCCAGAGGGTTAATCAATGGGTCCAGAGGGTTAATCAATGGGCCCAGAGGGTTAATCAATGGGTCCAGAGGGTTAATCAATGGGTCCAGAGGGTTAATCAGAGATTGACTCGTGGTTTCTGACCTTGTATCCGTTGTCTTCTTTGGGGTTGTGTGAGGCGGTGATCATCACTCCGGCCGCTGCCCCGAGCTTCTTCACGGCGTACGGCTGAAAACAAACACACACAGTTAACCACAGCTGCGCCCTCCACCCGGTCAGCTGACTGCGACAGGAAGTGATGCATTAGTGCTCTCTCACCACGTACGGCGTCGGGACGAACGTGGAGAAAAGATGAACAGGAACGTCTCTGCTGAGCATCACAGCAGCTGTTAGGTTCGCCAAACTGAAACACAATAACAATAATAATAAAGATATTAATAATAATAATAAGAATAATAATAATAAAGATATTATTAATAATAATAGTAATAACAATAAAAAATATAATTCATAATAATAAAAAATATTATTAATAATAATAATAATAATAATAATAATAATAACAACAATAATATAAACTGCAGCCCGACACTTCAATCAGATTAAAGGAGCTCTGTAGAGTCTCGTTCTGGATTATGATGAAATCCAGGTCTGTGCTGTTATTATTATTATTATTATTATTATTATTATTATTATTATTATTATATATTTAAGTTCAGTGTTACTCTGTGTGTATAGTTACCGCTGACTGCTGCAGCCACTCTCCTCCTGTCCTCTGGTGTCGAAACCAACAACCACTCCTCTCCTGCTGAAGTCTGCACAGTACCTGGACAGGTACGAGTATAAACCCTGAGCACAGACACAAAAAATACACATTATATATATATAATATATTATTATATGTTTATCTCTGATGTGTTCTGGTGTTATGAGACAATAGAGAGATTACAGGAAGTGAAACCTGAAACCACAGAGGCAATAAAGACTTGTGATGAAGTTCAGTCTCCAGATTTAACCGAATATTCAGCTTTTCAGAGCTTAACTTCAGAGCTGAACAATGATTATTGTTATCATCATTAAATCTGCTGATTATTTGTGCCTTTAAAATGTCAAATAACAGTGACAACAGTCAACAACTTAAAACGCCTCGTTTTATCCACTGCGGTTAACAGCAAATACTGAAATAACAATAATAATAATACTAATACTAATAATAGTTATGTATCTATTATTGAGTAAACTGACCAAATTCAACAAACAGAACAGCTGATAAACTGAACAATGAACTGTTGGAACCACAGTTTGGATCAATATTGATGATGAACTTTTGATCCAATCCTGTTTGTTTTTGGTTTTTGGTTTTATCTTCAACAATCATACAGACTTAATAAACTTCTTCTTTGACTTTGAGTTCGGTAGAATATACAATTATTGAAATTATTCAGTTTACTTTGAGTTTAAAAAGATTCCTAATCAAGTTGTTTTTAAGTTATTTTCACAGTACAAATAAATAAATTAAATTTAAGTCAGTGTCACTTAAGTTAACTAAAGCTGTTTGATCAGGAATGTTTTTTAACACTTTGAGTTAATTAACTTAACTTAACTTAAATTTAGTTTCTTCACAGAAATGAATAAATGTTGAGATACAGACTGTTTAATTCTCAATTTTTCTAGAACACGTTAAAATCAAGAAGGCCTCTATGAAGCTTTGGCGACCACCAGTGGGGGTCCCAACCCTCAGGTTGGGAACCAGTGTACTGAAGCATAAATTAATAGAGACTGCTGTGGTTGTGGACCAGCTGTGGACCAGCTGTGGACCAGCAGTGGACCTGCTGTGGACCAGCTGTGGTTGTGAACTGGTCTGACCTGTGTGGACTGGATAACAGTGAGGTCGTTGATCCGGCTGAATCCGGCTCCCATGGCGGCTCTGAGTCCCGCCGTGCCGAAGCTCATCCTGCTGCAGAGCCTCTTCCTCAGATCATCCAGATGACCCGCCGCAACCAGAGACTCCAGCTGAGCCCGGGTCCGCTGGTTCTGCAGCAGAGGACAGAAACCATCAGCGAGCCGCCACAGAGCGAATAACTGTGGTTCTGCCCAACATAGATTATCTTAGCACGTAGCATATCTGAGTACAGGGAAGGAAGTTGGCCTGCTGACGATACGTTTATGGGTCAGCTGGAGCGGACCAATAGAACCAATAGAACCAACGGAACCAACGGAACCAACGGGCTTGGAGCTGAGAGCCACACACAGGAAG